CGTCCTGCCGACAGAGATACCCCGTCTCACCCTATCAGAAATGTGGTGGACGGGGGCAAAGATCAGGGTCCGCTCATCCCACTCCGGAAGTCGGCCAAGAGAAGTGGAAGGCGTGACGTCATCCTCTATGGGCTCATGCTCCCGTCGAGTGTTTCGGGACCGTGAACTCGAGCCTCGCTGTCTAGCCATGCTAAATTGTGCAAAATCATCATAAATTAAGGTTCTATATTATCTAAGGTTCGCTTAGCCGCATGATACTATGTTTGCAAAAAACAGAGTACGTAGTACTAAAACAGAGCACAAATTCAAATTGAGCATATACGGCATTTTTCAAGCAATCAAACAATTTCTTGCAATACTACACTAATTATTGTGACAAATTGAACAAGAATTGCTAGCAAAAACATTAAGAACAAGCCACATTGTTCTTCACGACCTTAGGAGGTCCAACAATGGAAAATTGCTCATTTCTTTACCAAACTGAGTCAAACAAGTCTCAAATTACTCCCAAGGCAATATAAAAACATAATCCAGAAATTTCATGGCATAAAACTTGGCAAACAAAGCAAATTGAGCATTATAAGTTTCGTATTTTCATGAAATTCGTGAATAAACATGCCAAAAATTCATAAAAACCGATGTGAGTTTGAAGAAAACTTACATTGATCGGGAAAATAGATGAATAGAGCTTTTATTTGCAACAAATTTGAGCGAATTCGGTTGAGAAACGAGCAAGAACCGAGCAATTGAAGCTTTCGGGTTTTTTCGAGCAGTTTCGCGACGAGCAAAGCAGCGAAATGAAGAGGAAAGGGGTATTTAAGGAAATCCCTGTGCTGGCGCCAATCCCTATGCATTGGCGTCAAAAATTAGGCTTGGCGCCTGGCGCCAATATCAGCGCCTGGCGCTAAGGCTAAATGAGTGGCGCTGATGGCTTTTCAGTGGCGCCAGAGCACCCAGCCACCTGATGGGGTTGTTCTACCTTTCTGCAATATATTTTTGGGTTCCTTGGTACGCCAGTTAGCCCCTCTAAGCAATTTGACATGATTTAGTAATCGTCTTGATTATCTAAAGTGATCGACTTGATGAAAGATCGTCTCACTTAGCTTGAAGCGCCTAAGCATTGGCTCACTAACAAAAAGCATCGACATATAGATTCAAAAGCAAAAGGCACCAACGTACAGGTTCAAAGCAACGGAAGCGCCAACGTAAGGCATAGCGGGAGCAAAGTTAAGGCAAACTTTTAAAGATCGACAGGCGTGGGTCTTCGGTAATTTCCTTTGGAAAATTATCGCATCAAATGAGGATGACTTCAAGAGAGGATATCTTCGACGACATTCCCTAGCTTGCGGAGAGTTGTCACAAACAACTGGAGGTAATTTCGGGCGAAGTTGTCTTCGATCATATTCCCTTAGGCATGGAAGATGGTCATAATGCGGATGGAGATTGTTTCAAGAGAAATAATCTTGATAGTATTCCCTTGGACGTGGAATATTATCAATGCGGATGAAGATTGTTTCAAGAGAAGCAATCTTTGATAGAAATCCCTTGGACGTGGAATATTATCAATGCGGATGAGGATTTGTTTCAAGAGAAGCAATCTTCTAATTTGGAAGCAGTTACGGGCAAAGCAGTTTTCATGCGGGATGACATTCTCTAGCTTGCAGAAGGTCATCAAAACAATCGGTTACTTTCAGAGACGTGTGCTCGACGGTGCAAGATACGCGTTTCTTAACTCTTTTATCTGTTTAACTAACGCTAGTTTGCAGGTATCGGCGTTACAAGAGTGATTTAGGATCGCAGAACGTTCTGAATCATTCTCCGTCCCTATCGGTACTTTGACTTTTGTTTCCGAAACTTGCGTTTCTCCAAACTCAGTCAAAGTGGGGGCTTCTGTAGACACCCATTTGTGTCTCCCCAAAACCAAACCCGGTGATAAGTACCTTTCACGTCGAATCATAATCGAATGAAGTGAAAGTGTGGAAAGTCTAGTGTTGCGGAAAGTTTTATTTCTTTTCTCTTCTCTCTGTTTTTGAAAACTTATTTTAAGAAAAAAGCCAATCCAGTTTGATTGGACCATGATATAGGTCCAATAATAGTGTAGTTGGATGGGGCTTGACAAAAGCTTTCCAACGATATATTATAAGCCCAATTCCGATGAATATTGAGGAAATTATGGCCACTTTACTAAACTAGGCCCGGTTTGAGCCTTATATACGGCCCAATGATCTAGAGGAGGGCCTAATATGATTTATCATTCCTAATGCAATTAGGAATGGTTTTAGTCTTCTAGATTCTTCTAGAAGGTTCTTTTCATTCCTAATTCAATTAGCATTGATAAATTGGCTTTTTGACTTTTCAGAGTTTTAATTAAAATCAAATAGCATTTTCGAAGAAATTATATGATTTTATCCTCCAGTACGGCAAATTTATCTGATTTTCGAAAACGCGTTAAAACCAGGCTTGGCGCCTGACCCCAGGCTTTGGCGCCTGGAACCAGGCCTGGCGTCTGGCGCTAGCCATTGGCGCCTGGCGCCAGTGTTGGTGCCTAGCGCTAGTTACCAGGGTTTGCGCCAACTTTGTTTTTTGTGCGTCAGACTCTGTTTTGTTTATTTTATCTTTTTGGCTGATTTTCTCTATAAATATCGTATTAAAAACTCCGTTTACAGGCACCTACAATCAGTTTTCATTCGCAATCATCAATTCTTTAGCATTCTCTAAATCATTCATCTTTTTCTTCTAAACTTTGTTTTTAAATACAAAATTCCGCATTCATTAGATCTAGAAACACCTAGCCATATTCGAAGTTGCCTTCGCCCTAGACGTGAAAGGTTTTAATTTCTGTGGGTTTGGTCCCAAATCTCTATTTCAATTATTTAATTTAATTGTTTTGTTTACTATTTTCCTTGAAGTTTCTAACGTGTGTATTTTGTTATTAGAAAGAGGTACGAGGCATCAAAGTAAGTACTTTAATAGTTTTTTTTGATATTATGATGTAGAAATCATGTTTACATTGTTATTATGATATTCCTAGTATCATGTCTAGGGTATTTTTAATATTAAATATGATTGTTGCGATGCTTCTTATTTTCTTCCTAATATTTATGATTGTTAGTATCATGTTAGGGTTAAAGCTTTGATTTTTATTGCTTAGTGACATGCTAGGGTTTGTTATTAATCTTGTTAGTAACATGCCTAGGATCTTGCTATTATTATTATGCTTTAATATTAACATGAACATGATTATTTTATAATTGTTATGATCTATGATGATTATGAATATTATTATTATTATTATTATTTTGATGATGATTATTATTATTCATGATTATTCTAATGATGGATTATTTATTATTATTTATTATGTTGTTTGATATATATTATTTTTATTGTTTGATCACCTTTTATGCATGTTTAAAGGGAATTGGTACTTGTAATCACGCTTAATAAGATAATTAATAATCTTATTAGGGTTAATTTGATTATAATTCAAGTGATCGCCAATAATAGATTTATTTGTGCATTAATATTCAGCCGACATAGATTAAACAGGTTTAGGGTTAACCCTATTGATTGCATGTTAGTCAGAAAGCGCACATGAATACGATCAGAATAAAGTAGAGGCCTATTATTAGGGCAGGTTCAATCTCTTTTAGGTTGGATTTGTACCTTCATCCCCGAACCCTTATTTGGTTCTAGACCTTATGGAGTTGATGATCTCTTGGATCGTTAAGGGGTGTAACCTTCATCCTATGAATGGTTTACAAGTTCCTAAAAAAACTTGTTAGCGACTCTTTTGCTCTATCTTCTTCCCTTTTGGACGCCACCGTACTTTAGTGTATGATCACAGTGGGGTTCAAGTTAGGGGTTTAACGCTTGAAACTATTCCCTACATATATTGAGACCTTTTGAGCCTTCTACTGAAAGTTGTTCTGAGAAGCAACCTGAGACTGTTGTTGCTTCTGTACCTTCTGTTCATGCTCCTGTTGCTGATGTTTCTAAGAAGCCTCCTTCCTGTTGCTGATGTTTCTAAGAAGCCTCCTTCTGAGAAACAAGTAGGGATGGTTTCTTCTGAGAAGCAAACATGGAAACGGCAAAGAAAGGAACAAAACAAATGCTTCTGTGTTTTTCAAAGTTGAAAGTTCTACATTCTGATTGTTTAAGTGATGGTGAGGGTCTTCTAAAGATAATGAATGTAGTACTAGTTCTGAAGATAATTTAATATGTGATATTGATTGTGGTGCTGTTGGAGGTTATTCTTTACAGTTAATATCAAGTTTTCTGAGAGTTTATAATCCAAAAGCAAAGAGAATGAAGAGTTTAAGGCTTCAGGTTGCTGATTATTGTTTTGGTGACAACTATGAAGCTGTTAGTATGATGTAAGTTTTAGGGATTTCTCTATAATTGAATATATATATTTTTATTAAATTTTTTTTATTAATTGAATATTTTAAATTTTATGAAACAGGGAAGTTTTGGTGTATTTTTCTGAATTTTATAATTTGTCGCGTGAAGAATTAATGACATTGATAGAGGAGGAACTTATTTCAAGTCGGGTTATGGACTGTTTTTTTGTGTTGCTGAATTATCTTGAGTGCCAAAAAGCAGCAACTGTTACCAAGTTATATTTTGGTGGTGAACATATGGTAATTTCAATGTTATGCTTTGTTGTTTTTTATTATATTACTTAATGTTTTATATATCATTTTAACTTATTTCTATTTGTTCAGTTACCTCTTTTGCATTGTATATTCAATGGAGAAGGATGCTCCTTTGAAAAAGAAATTTTTGGGGCATGGGATCAATGGCTTGATTCTATTAAAACTATTGCATTGTTTGATGCAAAGATGGTATGTCATTTAATTTTATGTTAGCAAGTTACTTGATAGCATATTTGCATTACATGATATTATGTATAAGGGTTACTTGATGTTGTTTATTGTGCTTGCTTATATGGGGTTACTTGATATTATGTATATAGGGATTACTTGATAGCATTACTTCTTGTTATATATTAGGGTTACTTCTTATGATTTATATAGGTTTTTTCTTGTGATAAATATGATTTAGTTGGTATGTAAAGAGGTTACTTCTGTTATTTATTGGGGTTACTTGATGGTATATAGGGGTTACTTGATGGTATTTATTGGGGGTTACTTCTTGTTATTTATTGGGGTTACTTGTTGGTATACACAGGGGTTACTTGTTGGTATATACAGGGGTTACTTCCTGTAGTTTATTGTTTTTAATTGATTTTATATATAGGGGTTCATTTATAATTACTTGTTGCATATCATTAGTAATTAATTTCATGTTTCTTTTATGCAGATTTTTATTCCCATCTACTATTTCGATCATTATTATGTTGTTGTGATAAACTTCATCAACAACTCTATTGATTATCTCAACAACAGAAGGTATTTCTTGGGTGTTGGAAGGAATATTACTAGGACTTTTGATGAACATCATACGTGCTATTATACTCTTGTTTTGTATTTGGTAAGTTTATTAATTAAGCATTTTAGTTTGGTTTATTTATACTTTTGTTGATTAACTGACCTTTTTTGTTGTTTATTTTAAAGACACTACTTTTCAAAGTATCTGGTTTTACAGAATTATGATCAAGGGGAACTTGTCAACAACTTCCCTATTGGAATGATCCCAATTGATTCACAAAAGTGTCCAAAGAATAATGATTGTGGGGTGTTCTGTTTATATCATTGTTCTGTATACGAAGGCGAAGAATTTCAGTGTAAAAATTTGACAAAGGTATTGCATGGTTATTTTGATATAATTATTACAATTTTGTGTTTTTCTTATTTGGGATATATTGTTTATATTGTTCTTTTTGTTGGCATTACAACCTGTTGATCGTCTTCGTTACCGAGCTCAAATCTGTGCATCATTGGTCATGTGTAATTTGAATCAACTACGGCTAGATGTTCTGGAGAAGGTTAAAGTTTTTGTAGCCAACCATGATGCAATTTATGGTGAAGTTATAAATAATGAAGAGATTGATACAGAAGAACTTCTTGCCTTGGCTGAAGCTGAAAAGGCAGAAAAAGCCAAAGAGAAATTGGCCAAAAACGAAGCAAGACGGAAATCAAATGAAAAGTAGTGTTACTTGTATATTACAATAGGTGGTACTTTTTACTGGGGTATTTGTTTTCACAGTAGGGGTTACTTGTGTTACTTTTATATGTAAGAAGATTACCTGCATGTGTAATAGAGGTTACTTGAATAGTATACTGGGTGATAGCCATTTTCTATTGGGGTTACTTGAATAGTATAGTATGTGTTACTTGTATTGTTACTAAGTGGTTATTTTCCAGAAAAATAGAGTTGACTTTTATATATAATAAGAATTACTTGTATAGTATACTTGTTATTACTTGCATTCAATAGATGATTACTTATAAAAACAGATGATTGTTCCCTGGTAATTCATTATTCTTGTTTCTGTTATCTATACCGAGATTCATTAATGAATCACCTATTTCTTCTATCTCCATACTGTCTTGTGAATCTGGAAAAATTTCTAACATAGGTTGAAAATTTTCTGATTCTTCAGGTGGAAAAATTTCTGATGATTCAGCCATGGAAGCTTCGAGTTTGAAGATCTGGAAGAAAATGTTAGAATTTTCTGTAAATTTGTTTTGTAAATTTTTAGATGTTAATGCGGCTGCTGTTTGTTTAGGGATTTGTGTAAATGTGGGCTTTTTTAACAAGTCGGCATTAGTTTTACTTTTGTCAAATGTATCCCGTTATTTCTGGGAAGTGAATCCCGTTATTTTTGGTATGGCAGCTGACCACATGGTGAGGCCAGCCATGCCTGTCAAAAAATAAGATAAGGTGTGTTTTTACTTTTTAGTATATAATTATTAATTATTGATTGATTGATTTTTCATCATTTTTTCAAGAGGGGAAAATAAAAGGGACTTGTTATTCATCGCCCGCAAATCTCTACATAAAGCCCACATTTTATAATTTTTTGACAAATTTGCCCTTTTTATAATTTTAACGGAAGATAAATTTTTCGCACTAAAAAAAATGTGGAGCAGCACCGGATCGCCGAGGATCACCGGAGAATCGCCGTCGTCATCGGAAAACGAGGTTCGTAACGCATCGTAAGGACGAAATGGTGGCTAGCGCCTAGCCAAAAGGCCATGCCGTGGTTGTGGCGCCTAGCCAGGACGCCGCCACCGTGGTCACGACGTCTGGTGGAGAAGCCTCGACCATAGTAGTGGCGCGTGGCCAGGACGCCGCAGCCACGGCCAAGGCGCCTGGCCACCACGCCGCCACCATGGCAGCGGCGTCCTGACCAGGCGCCCCGGCCGTGGCTCCGGCGTCCTGGCCAGGCGCCAGTAGGGGAATATTTTTTTTTTTTTTTTTTTTTTTTTTTTATTTTATTTTTTAATTTAATCCCCTTTTTTTTTTTTGTTTGTTTTTGTTAATTTAATCTTAATGTAATTATATTTATACGTTATATGTTATTGTTACAGGATTATGGTGGAGACGGAAATGATTACAGTGGGATTTTTGTACATGATGGCCTGTTCGAAGATGCTCAACAAGCGATTGATTGGGCAAAACAGGTTGCAATTAGATCAGGCTTTTGTTTAGTAGTAGCAACTCATAAATCTCAACGGGATGGTAGAATGGATCGCATTTTGAGATGCGACCGTTATCGCAAAAGAGAAGAACGAGATTTCAGTAAAGCGATTCGGTTTGACTCAAAGCGGAAAGGTTGTGGGTGTCAGTTCCGAGTTAAGGTTCGACAACATCAAAGGCGTGACGGTTGGGAAGTGAAGGGTTACGGCAAATGGGGATATCACAACCATGAGCTGATAGCATACAAAGTGGGGCATCGGCAGTTAAGCGGCCTAAGTCCAGCTGCGAAACTAGTTGTAAAAGAAATGAGTGATGCTCAAGTGAAGCCCGCTAAAATATTAGCGTCTGTGTTAGAGAAATTCCCCGAAGACCAGCCAAACCGAAGACACATCTACAACGTGAGACAGAAATTGAGGTTTGAACGGTCAGAGGGAAGGAACCCTATTCAGCAGCTTCTGCACCAGGCACAAGCACGTGGTTACCTTTACTGGTTTGAATCTGACGAAGACACATCGGAGGTAACTCATTTGTTCCTTGTCCATCCTGATTGTGCTGATATGATTTCGTCTTGGCCATCTGTGATTTTGATCGATTCAACGTACAAGACAAACAAGTACAAGTTCCCACTGGTTGAGATGGTTGGGATGGCTCCAACGAACCAGAACTTTCTGATTGGTTATGCAGTCATGAAGGATGAGACGGCTGCGAGTTACCGTTGGGTGTTGGAAAAGTTGAGAAACTACATCGGCCCAAATGTACAGCCATCGGCCATCGTAAGTGATTGTGAGGGAGGTCTTTTTGCCCCTATAGCGGAGCTGTTTCCGGAGTCGAGCCATTTACTGTGCACATGGCACATCAACAACTGCGTGAAAGTCAAAGCCTACAACCTTTTCAACAAGAACTTAGATTCAGCAGAGAGATTGGTAAATGGTAAGTGGCGGAAGATCCTGCAAGCTACCACGGAGGCAGAGTACGATCGAGCCTTGGAAAACTTAAAGGATGCGTACAAGTGGTGCCCGCCAATCGTAGACTATGTGATGCATCAGTGGGTACCTCAGAGGGAAAAGTTTGTCAAATATTGGACGAACCAAGTTCTTCATTTTGGGAACACTACGACATGCAGAGTCGAGAGCGCTCATAGAGCTTTGAAGGACTGGATTGATTCTTCCACGGCTGCTCTGGATACACTGTTCGAGAGAATAAACAAGGCTATTGATACTCAGAGGAACGGCATCAAGAACTATCTCGAGGACTCCAGACGACGACATGGCATGTTGTATGGCCATTTCATATTTAAGATTCTCCACGGTCGTGTGTCACACCACTGTTTGGGGTTGATTCTGAGCGAGTATACCAGGATGAGGGAGTTGGGCGATGAAGTGGCTATTCGGTGCGGATGTGCTATATCAATGACTCATGGATTACCTTGTGCATGCACCATTCACCGTGTAATTACGCAAGACAGGGCGTCGTTACATGTCGATCAGGTTCATCCATTCACCCGATTTTCCGGTCCCAAATATCATACCGAAGTGGTATGAAATTCGTAGAGCAAGCGTGGAGGGTTGGGATGCTTTGTACCATGCTCGCGTGCAACAGTGGAACAATTTAATTGCCATGTAGTTTTTGTTGATGTACACCTACCTTTTACTATGAGGCCTTGTATTGTCAATACTATGTCATTTCTATGTGTTCATTTTTAAAAGATAATGTTTCATTTTAAAAACTAACAACAATAATTTCAAATATTACAAACTAAAATGATAATATTGAATTTTAAAAACTAAGAACAATAATTTCAAATATTACAAACTAAAAAGATAATGTCTAATTTCAAATATCAGTAATCCCTCTGTGACGCCCACTGCCACTGCTCAAGGGTCCGTTCCAGATCGTCAATAACAGCTCTGCCTGATGCACTCGTCATGCAGTCCCTTTCCTCAAAAAGTCGGTGTCCCAACTGCATAATCTTGCCCATCCACTACACAAAACAAAAAACATGAAACGACGTATTATACATATATATATTAAAATAAGAGAACAACAAATAAAAGATGAGACGTACCGCATAAGAGGCAGTGGCAGGTGGCACATCGTCATCATCTGCGTCGTCGATGTCTTTGATCAACCTCGGGTGCGAGTGCCGGATGTACCATTCCATGTAGTGCTGGTCACACATGGCAGTCACCCCACTTGGCGGCCGCTGCAGCTCCGCCGTCCATAGGCGGGCAACCATCGGAAACTGCTCCCACATGGATATCATGTTTGACGGCCATTGGACGACGTACTCCTTCGACGACGCAGATCGTACCGCCTTACTGGGCCATGCCGGTGGAGGTGGGATAACTTGGACAAATCCAAGCTGGCGAAGACAGCGCTGCGGCATGTACGCCTCTACGATCTCGCGATACTGAATCAGTCCAGTGTAGAGGGTCCTAGGTACCCTATTACTAGGGTTCTGGCCGAAAGGCATCCAGTTCACCTGCACATTATTTAAAATCAGTAACAGTCATAAAATAAAGCATCAGATTGTAAAAGTAGAAATAATTTAATCACTGTACCTCTAAGGGGGACATCCTGTCAAGCGATAACCGTATGGAGCGCAGGCGGTCAACGGACTTCTTCTCGACACGCGGACTCCACGCACAGGCACGTGGCTGGCCATCACCAATGGGAACCGGGTCGCGGTGTGGTCGAAACGCAGGAAAATACTCGTATATCCAGGTCTGTAACAACGTCAGACATCCAGTGATACCTGCTGCATCAGCCCGGCTCGAGAATCCTAACTGGCGATACAGATACGCCAGCGTAGCCGACCCCCAAGAAAACTGGCCTACTCTGTCGGGCTCACACGCGTCAACTATGTCGCGTGGCCTGAGCTTGTTCCCGCTCTTATCCGGAAACAAGGTACACCCGAGAAGAAGAAAAACATATGCAGCCAGCTGTGTGTCCTGCGTCCTACGTGCCGTAGGGTGCAAACATCGCTGCAAGACGGCTGCGATCTTAACGCCGCCGTGATCCCACACACCAAGTGCCGATGTGTACAGCGCAGCCCTATCCACCGCCAACAGCTCCGCTAGTAAATCTGCCTGATCCGCATCAGTGACGACAGATGCTCGGTTTCCCTCCACGGGAATCCCAAGGATGGCCTCGACGTCATGCAACATGATCGTCATCTCACCGAACGGAAGGTGGAACGAGTTCGTATCCGGCTGCCATCGCTCAACGAAAGCCGTGATCAGCGTCCAGTCAATCCTATCGTGCATGGTGGCAGGAAGGTGACTCACTCTAGTGGCCCTCAATCGCCCGACCATCTCGCTCTCCTCCGGCCAAGCATCAGCCCAGCTACACAAAAACCTACAAGTCTTTTCCCGGGTTTGGCATTTCAAAATGCCTGTATCCAAAGCCCTCTCCTGGTCCTCCCAAATACGGGTAGCGATGTGTCCTAAAAAGCTAGGAATCACACTCCCGTCTATAGGTCCCCCGGCCACCTCACCCCTCACCATCCAAGAATCATTAACGGCCCTCGACCGTTTTCTGCTACCCGCAGACACAGTGGACGCAGATGATGTGCCATATCTACTAACAAACCTACCATCTCGACCCTTACGCACATCTACCCTATGCGTCTCATACGTATCATCAAGTCTCTGACTGAATGGACCGTAATCATCATATGGTCCACTCTGATCGTCGACATCCTCATCTGCATCATCCTCGTCCTCGACCTCCTCCTCCTCGACCTCCTCCTCCTCCTCCTCATCATCATCATCATCATCTTGATCGTCCGCAGAACAGTGCACCCGTTCTCTGCGGGCCGAGGCCGAAATACCACGGGATCTAACGTGTCTGGGCCCCGAGCTCTCCATTGAGTAGATCGTACTCCTCACGACGTCAATACTCTTCCCCGCACCAGGTCTAAATTGCGATGCCTAACTCCAAGTAAATAACGAAACATAATAACGAAAACAAATTAAAAAAAGTCGAAAATAAACACAAAAGCAAATAAACAAGTCACGGAAATAAAATTATAAACATAAAAAATATAAAATTAAAACAAATAAAAAAACAAAATTTAAAAAAAAAAGATAAAAAAAAAAGGGAACATACAATTTAAAAAAAAGAAAAACAAATTTTTAAAAAAAAAAAAAAAAAAAATCGAAAATAAAATTTAAAATAAAATTTAAAATTAAAAAAAAACAAAAAAAAAATTTAAAAAAAAAAAAAAAGAACGAGGCGCCTAGGCAAGGCGCCTGTAC